AACATAATTTGCCTGTTTCTCCCCTTCTGTGTCACTTGATCACAATGGCAGTTGTGCACATGTGTTATTGGCTGCCACACTTACCACAAATATGTTTCATAATTTTCAGATATGGGATGGAAACATTCAGAATGTCTCAGTTCTATTATGAGTGCTGCAGTGGCTTTGCATTTGTTTATATGCAGTGTTATTAATACCAGGATTTTTTGCACTCAATTTGATGCAAATTGAGGCTGATGTAAAGGGGTTTATGGGGTGTTGTTACATGTGCTTTGTTTAGTTAGCTGGCTTATCCAATAACATGACACACCGTGAGGCAGCTAGAGCCTAAAATTATGCACTTTATTTTAGATCTCAAAAAGTACAAAATGTTCCACATCATTGACATTATTTTTTATTAGAGTATTAAAAAATAAAGTTAAAACAATGTAACTTAAAATAGAGAAAATTCATAACTCTTGTCACATTAAATGGAAAGGTTTGCTAATAAAGCTGTACAGAGTTCACTTAGTTCTTTATTCCAGTTCTACTTTTTCAGGCTAACAGCTTTCAGTGATATCTGTTGCTTAAGAAAGTCATCACATATCCCTGTGTGTTCCTGGAAATTTCCTTCTGTATGTCACCTCTCAGATTTGGCTGCAGGGCTGCTTCCCACAGCAAATAGCCCCTTGTGCTTTGCAGGAACCTCCTTGTCTTCCCTAGTTCTGCAGGTTTTCTACTTTTGACCTCAAGTGCCTTTTCTTTCTAAATCCATTGACACTGTTTTTCAGCAAGACATCTTCTGCAGGACCCACAGAGCAAACTCAAAAGTGCATTGAAAAGTTTTGTCATTCCTTACAGAAAGGTTTTCTTAATCTGCTCGAAGACTTGACTTTATAAAGTTTGCAAAATTATGTCATATAATTGTGTCTCCCAGAAAATCTGGAAGTTGTGAAAATTACAGCCTTCGTTTATGACACAATTAAATATTGTGTTAGCAGTCAGAAGCTCCTGCATCCACCACTTCTGGACGTTCACCCTTGGCCCAGGGATGGATTGCTTTCGAGGGTCAAACAGCACTTAAGTCCCTTTTCTCAAAGGAGTACCCCAGACTCAGTGCTGTTGTTCATCAGTTGTTTGCCAGAATAGAATTATAAATGAGCCCACCAACTCCTTTTGCTCATTTATCAAGAAAAGGCAGTGAAGGTAAAACCAGAACTAGGAGAAGTTCATGTCTGTCTTTTGACAGAGCTGCAGTTACAGCACTGTTGCTAATATATTTCAGTCATTACCGTATCAGCTGGATAGAAAAGGCTTTTTAATGAAGCACAAGTTGATGCTGTTTAGTTTACAGACTAATTTTCCATTAGCAAGGCAATTTACCACTGAACTCTTTAAAGTGCAGATCCATAGCAATTCCTGAAATAAAGACCTACTCATGCAAGTAGATTTTAGTAACTGGTGAAAAGAGGTAGAATAAACAGCATTTATCCAGGAGCAAAATTAACACTGCATTCATTAAAGATATCTATGCAAAAAAGGGTATAGACTGACAGCAATACTTTAGATTCTAGCAAGTAAATAAATATTTCTGTCCTCAGCTGTCCCATAGAAAACATTCCATGAATAACTGCAGAAGCACAAGAATATACCCATTTGCAGATGCATATACCAGTGAAAACTATACAGAGGAAAGTAAGAATGGCAAAAGAAATATATTTTGTATGAGCAGTGAATCAAATCTCTTCCCTTCCTTTAACCCTGGGAAGGTGATTTCTCGTTCATATCTCCTTCTGGTGAGCAAATTAATCTTAAAACTGTATTTGGAGAGAAAATATAACTGAATTCATGTGTGAAGCTTACCTTTTGAAATTGTCTCATTAGGTAATATTCGCAGGAGGTTTAGTTTGGATATTAGAAAGAGGTTCTTCACCCAGAGGCTGGATGGGCACTGGAGCAGGCTCCCCAGGGCAGTGGTCACAGCACCAAGACTGACAGAGTTCAAAAAGCATTTGGACAATGCTCTCAGGCACATGGTGTGACTCTTGAGGTGGTCCTGTGCAGGGTAAGAGCTGGACTCGATGATCCTTGTGGGTCCCTTCCAACTGAGTATATTCTATGATTTTATGATTCTATGACTTTATCATGATTCATTGTTGGAGTTTTTTTCTCTTATACTAGAAGATCTGCCTAAATGAATGCAACATGAATGTAAACAAAAAACGTAATATTCCAAGGACTACTGGACAGAATAAACCCAAAGTTTGTATCTGTTTTTTTAAAAAAATTTAACCTTTAGTTAGGTCTTTGCTCTTTTGTCTTTAACACTGATGATGTGGTTGTAGCTTTCTGTCACTTCTGTCATAGAGGTTTCATTTTGATTGCTGGGCCTTTATTTCTAAAAGCTAAATAGCCTTATGCAAAAATAATAACTCTTCTGTGAACCACGTGATCGGCCTTGCCATTCCTGCTGCTTGGACCAACTCAGCAGGCAGAGCGTTGGGAAGGTGAACCCGTGCCGGACAGGCCCCAGTGCTGAATTAGAGCTGGGCTGTTTTTTGAAGAGGAAGATGTTTGTGGGGAAAGAATAGGGGCTATTCACTCCAGAGTTAACCATTTCCCTTTCCTTCCCACTTGGAGCAACTGCTATCACATCCAATAGCAGTCATATGGGTCATCCCTGCACTTTGAGTCTAAGCTGGTTTCGGCACATTTTTGCTCTTACAGGTTGTTACAATCCAGATTTAAGCTATAAGCTGCCCAGAGTGGTTACATTTTATTTAAGACTTTTTAAAAGCCTTGTAGTTCGTTATAACCTCAAATTAGCGTCCAGAGAAAGAGTGACACACTCTTCTCTAAGAGAAATTCTTTTAATTTAGTGAGAAAAATAAGATATTTTGGCAAAAGGTTTTACAGGAGTAAAATACAACCAAGAAAAAATATTTCACTAAAACACTCAGCACAAAGACCCCTTCCACAGTAAACACCTGTTGGAAACAATCAATATACTAGCTTTAGTAAAACACAATTCATTGGTTTTAAGTTACTCATAAGAGAAGGAAAAGAGGTAAAAGAAGAAAATAGATTAAAGGAGTAAAGAAAGAAAGAAGAAAGAGTGAAGGAGAGAGAGGAAAGGAAAAACAGTTACCGATAAGATCTGATGGTTCACATGGTTCAGGTTGCAGGAGAGGAGAGAAGAAGAGGCTCAAGTGGAGTCTCATGTATTTATAGAGTTCAGTTTTCCCTCCCAGGCAGGATACCCAGTCAGTGCCTTCCAAGCCAGAGTGAGTTGTGCTGTAGCCAATCACAGGCTCCAGGGGCATGGTGTGAGCAGGCTACCAGCAGGTCTGCCTTGACTCAGAGCTGGCTACGGGGCCTTCATCTCTGCCATGTGCTCTGAATGGGCTCAGCCGTGTTGGCTCTGCCATGTGCTCTCAGCAGGCTTTATGTGCAGGCCTTACCATGTACCTGCAGGTCTAGGCCCAGCCCTTCCCCCCCCCCCCAAACACAGAGTGAGTTGGTTTCGACCCATATCAATAATTCAGAGAGATTTGGATTCAGTATCTCACACAGGTCTTACATCTACTTCGTCCATAGGAGTTTGGTTCTTAAGCAGGTGGTCAGTCCACACACCTTCATCCATGTCGTACTGACCTTGTCAAATCTCATTACCTACAGGAATAGGGTCTTTTTTTTTCAAAATGACATGACCAACTAAATCTCTGCTGAATTATTTGATAAATGAGAGAGTGAAGTGGGTTGGAAAAATGAAAACCCCGGAAAGTGCAGCGGCATCTTCTGAAATATCAGATGCAATTGAAAGAAAATAACTGACTCCTATAAATTCCCTGATTTGGTATAAATATCTTAATCCTGTCCAGGATGTATTTAGGGTTAAATAATGTAGAGTTATACAACTAAACAGTGGACCACATGCAACCTTGATGGTCTAAATAGAACATGTATTTTGGGCAGTGAGCACTGTCATTCCTCTTGGGAACCTTTCGGCGCTAGTGAGGACATTCTGCATAAACAGATCTGGTTTAGTGGTTAAAATCAGCTATTTATATAACACACTAGTGGAATTTCATACTGCTATCCTAATCTCAAATGTTTTCTTTCACCACCTCCTCTGTTTAAGAGGATCTGGTAACTTTCATCTTATTTCTACTGTAACAACATGCAAACCATATATTTAAGTCAAAATCCTCCGGAGAATAGCATTTAGAAGAAATATTGTGCCATGATTGCTTCTCCCCTAGAACACTGTAAACTGCCTGGTGGTTTAATAGTTTGCTGTTTGAAATACCGCATGTTAAAAGATCTCAGTGATCTCAGTGTTTGGGACGGCATCTATGATCATCTTCCACAAGTTTAACACTTCTAATAGATTTGCAGCAATCTAAATTCTCCTCAGTACTTTTTGTCAAAATATTCAGTAGCTTCCTAGTCAATATTTAGATAAATCAAGTCATTCTGCTTCCAATTCTTTTGCAGTTACGCTATTTTTCAAAAGCCCTGTCCCCTCTTTTCAGTGTTACATATTTGATCAGATTCTAGATTTTGCTATCACTTCATCAAGTCTTACAGATAAAATATTTTATTTTAACATTTTGAGTTCAACATGAATACTTTTACAGGCTATGATTAGGGTTAAGGTAAAGCTTTTGAGTTCATGGATATTTCATACTTACATCTTAAATACGTGTTGTTTTATAATAGTTTCTCAGCATGCAGCAACAAAACTAAAACATTGGTTTGTCTTCTGCATTTCAGTATTTGAATCAAGCCTCATTGCTCCCACCAATGGACAAGACAGTAATGGAAAGGAAGATTTTGAAAGTGTACATATAGTTTTTTTAAAGGATTTTGCTGGTCCTACCAGAAATTAAGTAAGCCTGATCACCTGAGTTTAGTTCTTGCTTTGACTTGGAAACTCCTTACTGTGACTAGCATCAGGACTAGAGCCAATCTTCTTGCTCATTTGGATGCAACTCTTGTTTTCTCCTGTTTTATGACAGGTAACCTGGGGTCCCAGCTGGTTGAGTATAAAGAGGAGATGTACATAACGTCTGACTGTGGGAACACGTGGCGTCAGGTAGGAAACATAAATTATCAAGGAGCCTGGAAATGATTTTAATGTACCAAATGTGATGAATTTTATAATGCTTAACTAATCTTTAGATACCTACTCTTTTGAAGGAGGGGGCCATTATTATCTCCATTTTGCTTGGAAACCGAGAGATTAAAGAGATGAAAATGTTCAAATTCCATTGGAACCTGACAGCCTGATAAATTTGAGTCTTTGCAAATCCCTTCTTAAAGATCTTAAAAGTATCTTATGCAAAAAACATAGCGTCTGTTTAGTTTTTTAAGAATTTAAATAATCTTCCTGTGATAATGACGAAGTGGACTTGGCTAGATCTTGCAGTACAAACATTCCAAGTTAAAAGACATGGCTTAGGTACAAAGGCAGAAATTCTTCAGCTTCATAGTCTGAAAACTGTTATTTAAGCATAAACTTTGTTCTTCATTGAAACTGAGTGAAAACATATTTTCAAAAAAAAAAAACCCTTTTAATTTCTGTTAGTATGATTTAATAAATTCAGGGAATACAAATACCAAAGTATTAAAACCAGTGATGTGGTAATGCTGTCTGAATTCTGGATGTCTTTTGCTTCCACTGCCTAGAATCAGTTAAAGCATTGCACATTTATTATGTATCCTAAACTGCCTTGTCTCAGTGTGCTGGGTTTACCCTGGCTTAATGCCAGGTGCTCATCAAAATCGCTTTATCACTACCCTCCTCAGCTGGACAGGTGAGAGAGAATATAAAAAAAACTTGTGGGTCGAGATAAGTCACCAATTACTGTCATGGGCAAAACAGACTCAACTCGGGAAAGATTAATTTAATTGCCAATAAATAACAAGAGTAGGATAGTGAGAAATAAACCCAAATTTTAGAATACCTTTCCCCCACCCCTCCCTTCTTCCCAGCTCAGCTTTATTCACAGATTCTCTGCCTCCTCCCCCCAGCAGCACAGGGGGATGGGAAACAGGGTCTGCGGTCAGTTCACCACATGTTTTCTCTACCGTGCATTCCTCCTCATGAGGAAGACTCCTCACTCTCTTCCCCTGCTCCAGTGTGGGGTCCATCCCACAGGAAATAGTTCTTTATGAACTTCTCCAATGTGAGTCCTTCCCATGGGTTGTAGTTCTTCATGAACTGCTCCAGCATGGATCCCTTCCACGGGGTGCAGTCTGTCAGGAACAGGCTGCTCCAGCGTGGATCCCTCGTGGGGTCACAAGTCTTACCAACAAACCTGCTCCAGCTCGGGCTTCCCACGGGGTCACAGCCTCCTTCAAGCATCCTCCTGCTCTATGGGCTGCAGGTGGATCTCTGCCCCACCATGGACCTTCATGGGCTGCAGGGGCAGAGCTACCTGAGCATGGCCTGCACCATGTGCTTTAGGGGAACCTCTGCTCTGGCAGCTGGAGCACCTCCTCCCCTCCTGCACTGACATGGTATCTTGAGGGCTGTTTTACTTACATATTCTCTACTCTTCTCTCCTGCTGCAGTTGCTGTTGTGCAAGTTTCCCCCCACCTTCTTAATTACATGATCCCTGAGGTACTACTGCTGTCTGACTGGCTTGACCTTGGTTGGTGACAAGTCCATCCTGGAGCTGGCTGGTGTTGGCTCTGTTTGGACATAGGGAAGCTTCAGGCAGCTTCTCAGAGAAGCCATGCAAACCCAATACACTCAGCAATGCCTATTCACAGGGATACTTTCTTTCTATATATATATATATGGCAATAATGCACAATATGATGTGGATTCTACTTATAATGTGAATCCAGGAGAGAAAAAAAACTACCCTCAAAGGACTAAAGCATGTAAAAAAATAATTTCAGTTCAGTTAAAATAGTGGTTTAGTGTTTAGCTGTAATCAAATTTAATTATTTTCTGAGAACAATTAAATGTGAAAATGTTCTCAGTAGTGTTACTGAGCTTGAGGAATTTAGGGTTAAAAGAGGAAAATACAGACAGTTTCTTATATTGCTATTGTAGGATGCCAAATATACTGTGTTTTTAAAAGAACTTTTAAAGAGAAATATGTTATTTTTGTCATGAGAATGTCTTTTGATGTTTGAAAGATAAAATTTTATGCCAAATCCCTTCTTGAAACCTAGAATATGATAAATAGGTGTTTAAATGCAAAAGTCTTCCAGGATTTACAATGGGTACTGTGTTTTTCAATACTTCATAGAGGTCTCTCTCATAATTTATTGTCAGCATTTGCCAAAGTTTTATAGTTTTTCTGGGGTTAAAAATAGGAAGAAAAGAGTGAAGGGGATCAAATCCGTATTTTACTGCTTTTTATTTGTAAGACACTCAGGTAAATGATGTGTGTTGCAACTTGACCCTAAGGTGCCTATTCATGCTGTAAAACCAACCATAAACTGATCCCTCATTGTGACAATCAAAATGGAAAACACCATTTATTTTAATTAAAACTACTTCAAAGCCTTTGAAAGAGCTTGCTCAATCCTAAGATTTGCAATCAGAATTAAATAGTAGATTATTGCATGTATTTTATGGCCTCACTGCTCGCGACCAAACAGTTCTTCCAGATGACGGCAGTACATTTCCTTTCTCTGTTGGTGTTCATACAATGAGGGAGAAGGCTTCAGTCAGGTGATATGGGAATTTAAATAATTCAGTAAACTGCAGGTCTTGTGAGCTGGTGAATGCAGAACAAATCCCATGCTATGACACAACTCTTCATCTGAGTTTAAGTTTCTGACTTGGAGACCTTGTGGTTTTCATTAGTGAGTGCCTGGCACCTTTGTCATGTGCTCACAAAACGTTGCAGGGCTGTTCACAGACTAGAAGGGGAGCAGTCTGTGGGTATAGAAGCAGAGCAACGCAGAAAAGTAAACATGAGACTTAGGAGAAAAGGCAGTTCAAGGAATTAATTAAAAACTTTCTTGAAATAATAGCAGTATTGGTTCATAGGAATATAGAACTATGGGGAAGGTCAAAGATCATGTAATTCAACCATGTGCTCTGAGACAACATCAAATGTACTAGGAACATCTCTGCAAGAACTGTTCGTTAATCCTTCACTGTAAGAGATTCAGGCTACATGGTGTTTCACCATTCTTCATAGATTTTTCTGAATATTTTACATAGGCTGACTGTTCCTTTTGCTCTTGTTCTTACACTTTCACAAATTCTGCAGGGTGATTTCTTCTTATCTTTAGAGAGGAGTGGTTTCCTGTCACCTTTGAATAACTTTTTTAGATGTTGAAAGGTGATTATCAGGTCTACCCAGACTGTAGGGATTTTCCCTTTGGAAATAGCAAACTCAAATCCACTGATTTTCCTAGTGAATCAAATTTTTGAAGTGGTTTTTTTTTTCCTTTTTGTTCCTCATTTATTGGACTGTCTAATATGACATGCCTCTCCTGAAGCATGGTAAAACTGAATGCAAAATTACAAATTTTATCAGTACTAAACAGAATAAAATGATTGCCCTTGATGTTTTGACATGACTGGCACCCCATTTCAGAAGTTTTCTATTCCTTGCACTAGCATCACATTGTTGATGCAAATCCAGTTTGTGATTCTTAACTGGAGCCACTCCCTGAGTTTGTAATACATTCTCACTTTAACAACAATCTGCTGATCATTTTCTTTCCATAATTTCTTAGCCAGCTGTATATACTTAAATGGTTTTAAGGCTCATGGGGGTCCTTCTTACTCTCTACAATTACCTGAAAGGAGGTTGTAGAAAGGTGGGGATTGGTCTCACCTCCCAGGTAATAAGCAATAGGACAAGAGGAAACAGCCTCACCTTGCACCAAGAGAGGTTTAGATCGGATATAAGGAAAAATTTCCTTGGAACAAGCTGCCCAGGGAAGTGGCTGAGTCACCATCCTTGGAAGTGTTCAAATGACATGTGGATATGGCACTTAGGAACATGGTTTAATAGTGGACTTCAAAGTGTTCAGGGTTTATGGTTAGACTCAATGATCTTAGAGGTCTTAATGATTCTATGATTCCATGATTTCACCTGAACCCATATTTCCATAGATTGCGTATGGTGTGGTCATTGAAGAGTTCAGGAAGGGTTACGTATAAACACGGCCAGTGTTTATAGATAGAAATAAATCCCTAAATGGGAGTTCTGTGAAATTAAGTAAATACTGGGGATAAATGGAAATGTTTGGGGAAATAATGGAAGTTTGGTGAGGAGGATTATAAACGCAGTCAGGTGATGTGCAGCTCGTGTGTCAAAACCCACATATATTGTTGTTTGGCCTTATGTGCTGGCCAAGTAGACCATCTATGTTTAGATAACATAGGTCTGTGAGAGACTTAGAGGAACACTGTCACACATGCTTGAGATCCCCTGAAAGATCAAGCAGAGTGGTAAATTGTGGCTGAGCAAATCCCTGAAATACATGTGAAAACAGCAGGGTGGGTGATCTTTTTGCATGGACTGAGCTCTTCAGTTCCTGCATTCCCACTTGTGTGTCTCTGCCCAGGTGCTGCTTCAGCCCCTGGTTGGCCAGGTAATGAGAATAAATTTACTCTTTGCATTTCATCTGTGGTTTTGTGGTTGTTCCCGTGTCCTGACTCTACCAGCTCATGCAAAAAGTAAAAACAAGGACTGTGATTATAAGTAACCACAATATCACTTGGGTTGGCTCTAGTTGTTCTTCTGCCTTTCTATTGCATGGTGCCTGAGCTGCTTGTTGGAATATCTTGAAACCATCACTTTTTTTTTAAGAAAAACTGAAATTTGTAGCTGTGTACTGTACAACATTGCACTGCAAATAGCAGTAGTTTGGGAGCTGATTGATAAGCAGGTTAGACATCCATGCAGCAACAGTGAACTGGTCTGTAGGAGAAGGGAATCTCACCTTGACACTATCATGAACTATGTGGGCTTAGAATCAGAATCGTAGTCATGGAATTGTTTAAGTTGGAAAAGACCCTTAAGATCATTGAGCCCAACTATAAAAATAAGTGCCAAGTGGACCATGAAGGCATAGGCTATGGTGAACTCATGGAACAGATAAGTTTATTTGAAAGGCTTCCCTTCTTTTCTACCAGCAAAATAGTATCACAAAATGTGTAAATGAACATGAAATATTAGGATACTCTGTTAAATGCTAAGGATGACCTTGTATATATATAGAAGTGGGCTTATTTCTTTAAAATGCTAATTTCTGTTCACAGTTGTGGTTGCTGTTGCTATTTCAACAGCGTCTGTTACAACACTGTATTTGAAATAGGACAGAGTAAGAGAAAGGTCTGGCTTTCAAAAGAAATGGCATAAATAAAAGGAAAAGAACAGCAAAAACCTTTCATATTTGATCCACTGCCAAAGTAGCTCTTGTAGCAGCAAAATGCTTGGTTAAGCTAATAAACAGAAAGCCTGTTGTATGTTTAGGAACGGAATCTAGATCTCTGGAACTTTAATCTAGTGCTTTTTTTATTGGAATATTATTTCTCTGTGTTAAATTCTTTTGCATCAAAGCAACTTGGAAAACCTTTGTTTAAGCGAGAATACTTGTTTTCCTGCAGACATCTCAGGAAGTGGACGGTTACAACTTTAAGCACAACAAAACAGGCTAAAATTCCAGCCTTTTAACTCTAGGAAGGTCCAACTGGCTCATTCTGTGTAGGAAACTTCCATTTCCAGCTTTGAATCTAGAAATGTATGACACTTGATGAGAGAAGCAAGTGACTTTGGGAATTTTTGGTTATTTTTGAAACTTCTGCATTGCAGAGTAAGATCGGATCATTTCAATGTGTTTTCACTGATTTCATGGGGTTTTAATAATTGCGCCCAACAGATATTCTGACCTGAAATAGCTGCTGAAGTTGCTGGGACAGACACAGAAAAAGAAACCTTTAGAGCAGAGCGGACAGGGGAAGAGAATAGAAGTTGATATTATGATTATAAGGCATATAACGTGCTTAAAAAATTACATAAATAAGTCATAAAAATCTTGTTCCTTCATGGCTGTCTATTAGTAAGGATCACAACACATTTGTTGCCTGGCTTTAGTTAGTGGAGTGACAAATATCAAAATTTGTGGTTTGCTGTGAACAGGTATGTTCTCAGTTTTGAACTTCAGCTCTGACACTGGGACCACCTTTGCCTGAATCCTTTGCAAACTGTTTGTCTTGTTTTCATTTCCATAAAGTAGAGATAAATATTTACTTTTATGCATGAAATTGTTAATTCTTTTAAATGTACTGAAGATGAAGGGTTGCTTTCATAAGGAATTTCATACAGTTTGGTTATAAAATGTTTGAAGTGTGTGCAAGAAAAGCATGATATAATGATGACATTGATATGTGTGTAATGTGTCTGCTGTGCTAAAGCAGGATACTAAAATGATACGTGGGGCACTGCCATGCTGCTTCTCTGGGAAAACCTTATTTGGATAAACTGGTACAGAGACCAGCTTCCTTTATCCTCATTATGATGCTGAAGCTTTGGGAGACTTCATGTCCCAGCATAAACTGTTGCATTTTGATTTGAGCAGAAGTTCAAACAAAGTTTAGAGGAGGATCAAAACTCTGCTTCCTTTTCTGACTCCAACTGATCTCATCCTTTTGAAGTGCATCTAAAATTAATGTCTGTCCTTTACTGAAATCTCTTCTAAAATATGCAGCTGTGTAGAATAAGTAGATAGGACTATAAATGCCTCGTATCAGGGTTTTGCCTGTAAATTTGCAACATTGAAGAACTGATCAGACACTTGAAACCCTAGGATTCCCATAAAATATGTTCTTACTAGATGAGAGGAAGACTGAATTCTCAACCCAAATTAAATGCTTGCTATTTTTTGAAGTAATTGTGAGTATGCTTTAGGATATTTCCACTGCATCTCTGGTTCAGTCTTGCTGATAAATTCTCTAAATGTAGCGCTCACTTTTGCCAAAAAAAAAAGAAAAAAAAGCATTTGTATTGTCAATATTTTTTCATTCACATAGCAAAGTAAAGCTAACCTTTATGGGTTTTACCTTTGCTTTGACCGCATGTTTGTCTAGTGTGTGTGATAACTCTCACCTTACCACTTGCTCTTGTGTTAAATGAACTTTCACATGTTAATAACACAAGTAAACCATGTCTTAAAACAGATTTCAGATGTAAGAAAGGGAACATATCTACCTGTGGATTTATTTTAGTACTGCTGATGGCTTCTAGAAAAGGAATTTAAATAATTTAGGAAATTTTTAGTAACTTATACCATTAAATCAGTATTACATGTATTTTGGTTCAAAACTCAGAGTGGCCTCCATGGGAGATCATGTGTTTGAACTTAAATAAATCACTGACACTGGAAATGCAGAAAACATGCTTGTACCAATTATTTCAAGTTCTGTAGTTTCTGGGTAACGTGAGAAAGTCAGGGGCAGCAATACTTTTCCTATTTTTCTTAGAATTAAACTACAAAGCATTTTATTCTGCAAGGTACACAGAATATGGCAAATACCAAAGTAAGGTGATAGGTCACTTGGTGATGTATAATAGGAAGGAATGGAGAATGCACACTGTGAGAAATATCATCTTGGGCTAAAATCATTTAGGCAGTTTAATCTAACTGTGATTTGAACCTGAACATTTTGTGATTCACCTACTTAACTTCCTTTTCTTTTACAGCTGGAACAAATACAGGAGTTAACCTGACTTTTATGTCCTTTTCAGTTTGAAGTGTGGACATTGTAAAATGTAAAAGTCTATTAATGCTTGTTTGCTTGTACATTTTATTTCAGCTGTTTTGTACATTTGCTTAGCTGGCCTTTTTTTGTCTGACTTGTAGGTCTTTGAAGAAGAGCACCATATCTTGTACTTGGACCATGGTGGAGTTATTGTGGCTATCAAAGACACCTCTATCCCTCTGAAAATACTCAAGTAATCCTACAGTCAATTAGAGTAGAGCTATTGTGTATTCAAGACCTCAGGCAAAGTTCAGAGTTAAAGATAAGCATTTTAACATGATCATGTATGAAACACAGGTGGAGTCAACTTAATTTAACATTCATTAAGTCAATAAAATGCAGTTGGATGTTTTCTTAAAGATTATTTCATGGCGCTGAAGATAGCATGGCATAATGCATTAATCATAATAAAATTCCCTTGCATCAGTGTTGGGTTTTTTTGCTTCAAAGGCTATTCTGGAACTCTACAGTACAAGCCATGTTCACCATTGATTTTTATCTTCTACTGGTTGACACCAGCAGTGCATGTCAATTATGCTCAACCTATGATGCTTATGTGGCTTATGCATGCAGTCAGGATAGTTCATTGGTACTGTAATAGATCTCTATCCTCTCCCAGGGCCACAGTGAAATTGGAGAATAGCCCTGAGTCTCTCTGGCAAGAGCAATATAATGTAGACTTTGAGAGCCAACAGGCAAAGTTATGTGTGCTTATGTGCCGTGTAATATGGTCTGCCAGAAACACAGTTTGTAGTGTGCATAGATCCTGTCATACAGTGATAATGCAGCGAGTGGCCTTCTCAGCTTCTTTGTCTGAGAAGGAAAGGTTTGCTGCAAAGAATTTTGTTATAAAATATCAAGTTTTAGACTGCATGATGGTGCAGCAAAATATGGTAACCTTATGCAATGGCATGCAGAACTATGATTTTCAGCATAAAAAACTGTAAGAGATCTTTATCACTTGTGACTAGCTTCATTTTTGCAGAATTGCATACAGTAATAGGAACTAGCTGTGTACCGGGTTAGCTAGAATGAGTCATCACTAACCTACTATCCAAAAGACCTGGAGGAAATGTACAGAAGAAAAGAGACTTTGATTCCTAAATTTTGGCTGCACAGAATCTCTGAAATATGTTCTGTGGATTCATCAGCGTCTTCTGCAAATTTTTAAGTGACTGGTAGCAGCTGTGAAGGGCCATCATCATCTCGGTGCCTGCAGTTACTGCATTTCCCACATGTTTTAGCAGTTGGGCTCTTCTGCCTCTCCTGTTTCACTGACCTCTGCTTAACAGGTCTCTAGTCAGAGGCTATTAGAAAGAATGAAGTGTAAATTAACTTGCTTTTGAAGCCACAAGGTAGGAAGATAGTTTGTTGACAGAGCTCTTTTTATCTCCCTGAGAATTTTTATTGTTGTGGCAAATTTATCATACATCTTCTCATAAAGATGTGAACAACTGGATATGATGCTGAAAAAAAGATCACATTACTATGATACACTGTCTAGGCATATTGTATTTTTGAGATCAAAAATCCTAGGCTTTAGTAGTGAGTTGGGGGTTTTTTATTAAGTGAATTCTGCTTTGTATAGTAATAGTTGGAAATGAAAACCATTTCTGCTTTTTTACAGGTTCAGCATAGATGAAGGCCAGACTTGGAGCACACATAATTTTACCAGCACTTCAGTCTTTGTAGATGGATTACTTAGTGAACCTGGAGATGAGACACTGGTCATGACGTAAGGTTTTGGTTTCATCTCTGCTCTCAGGGCTCTCCCTCTGCTTATGCACTTGAGCATATTTTCAGTTGTGCATGTTTGAGATAGTCCTTGAGTCAGTCGCTTTTGCTTCTTGCAGTCACACAGGCTCTTACACTGATGTCCAAACTGCCCTGGTATGTAACCTGACTTAGAAATTATCTGAGTGTAGTATTTCAGATTGTAAAAAGAATTATGTTCATAAGAAATCTTGCAAAGATACCACCAGGGAAAGTGGAATAATAAAACTGCAATACAAATCTGAAAAATGTAGGGAAAACCCCCCCCCTATTTTCTCCATTTTTTTTCCCTATGGATTTTTAGTCAGACATCAAAAATGTTAAATATCTATTGTCTTCACAGTGTAAGCAACTATATTGTTGTCCTAGTAACTAGCATTGCAGTACTTTGTGTAACCAAGCACTGTGCTAACAAATGCCTGTTTTTATTCTGTGCGGTGACTGAGGCAGATGCTGTGAATAGAGTTAAAAATAGCCAAATTCTGCAACTCAGGCCCCTGTTTATCTGTCTCTTTCCAAAGGGCCAGGGACATCTGGATCTGAGCTGAAGGTTTTGCTCCGTCTCCACAATAAATGCTAATATTTTAGAAGTGTCTGAGAGTAAGAAACACCTGTCCAGTTAGGGAGAAAGGCACATGCTTGCTGCACCCAGAAAGGGGAGTGCACTCAGAGATGTGCAGGTTGTTGTATGTGCTGCTGTCACAGCAGTTTGTGCGATCCTTTATAACGGAGCTCAGTGTCTTCATGACAAGCTTTTTCTCCTAGGAGTTACAGATAGAGCTACCTTTGACCAGTAGCATTTTCCCCAGGGAAAAATAAATTGATAGCCCAATGTGGACTTGTGTAAAGGATCCTCAGCAAAACAGAAATCCTACCTGATGTACTTAAAAGCATTGTGCCGACTTCATAATGCTGTACTGCACAGAGGTGAATTTGGTCTCTTAGATATTTCTTTCTTTCTCCACTGCCTCATTTATCTTCCATTATACATTTATGGCCTGAGAAGAACAGTATTATCCCACCATCTTCCCCTTCTCTCAAGCACAGGTTTATTTATGGTATAATACATGCCACATGAAGACAGTTATACCTCTGAATGAGGGATTTATTTCCATTGACTTTAGTAAAAGCAGAGGGATCAAAAGCTTATCCTAAACTGTACTTACTGGAAGATAAAATGATGTGTGATGACTATATGCTCTGAATTGTTTTTTTTCTTATTAACTATCATTAAAAACAGTGATTTGGTGAAGATGTGTTTAAATACTGGCTGAATGGACTAAAGAGCTCTTGTAAGACACGATACCTTTTTAAAATCATCAATCTGAAACATATAAAACTGTAGCTAGTTTTGGTACACGAGCCCAGATTGACAAAAAAGCATCATATGACATATATTTCTAAAGGCAGAACAAGAGTATGACTCCAGCATCTCAATGCCAGACTTGTAGGATCTTACTTTTTAGCTAGTTCTACAGAACATGGAGGACATCAAACATTCAATATCACAGACTGGCCCTGAAAACACTTTCAACCTTCCTGCCAGAATCTGAAGATAATGAGAAGAATAAACCTGCTGTATGTGTTGTGCTGATGCTGTTGTATCAGCTTCCTTGTCTCTCCTGCTGCTTTTGATTGCAGCTTTACCTTAAGGGTGATGTTGTCAGCCCAGCGGTGCTCAGTCTGACTTAATGTCAAGACGTTTTGTCGTTCCGTCTGGCTTAGTTCATTTTCTCTGAAAACTTATTCTTGCACTAAGTTGTTGTGCTTGAGTTCATCTACAGTGATTTGCTGGTTTTGAGTAATGTCATCCCCTAATACACACTCCCTGGAAAAAAACAAGAATCAACTATGCCACATTTTTCATTTTATTAGATAAAAATTTCTTCTGAGTAGAACGTGGTAAGATGAACCTGTGTCTGGTAATGGAAATAAATTAGTAGTGTCTTTCACCTTGAGGAATCCTCAAATCCATTACTAAGGACCTAGTCTGACATTTTTCAATAGTATGGGAATTGGATTTTCTCCCTTTAGTATGAAGGTTTTTTGAATAAAGACTTTGAATAAAGAGTCCAATGTCAAAATGTGCATAGATTAGGAGAGAGAGCATAATTCTGAATTGGGAAGGTAATAACTGTAAAAGTCTGCAAGAAAATTGAGGAACAGACAGTATTTTATTTAAAACTTCTAGAATAAACTCACAAAGGAGTCAAAGAATATTTTTCTTGTATAGGAAATCACTGTTACAGTAGGGTAAAGTCCTATTTCCACTGAAGTCAACTTAGGGATTTCCTTCAAGGTTTTTAATTTGTATTAAAAGAAAAAAAAATCCATAAAAGGTTATCTGGGAAAGATATTAAGGGACCTGGTAACACTATCTGTAAGAGAGATTTCTCATCCTCCAGCATGGTGTCTGGGATATTGACCTGACTTCGAAGTGACTTGCATTTGAATTCCAGTTCTGCCTTAACTTATCCAAAGTCACAGAATCATAGAGTCACAGAACGCTTTGGGTTGGAAGGGCCCTTCAAGATGCCCAATGCCCCTGCCATGAGCAGGGACACCTTTCACTAGAACAAGTTGCTCAAAGCCCTTCTGACCAGGCCTTCAACACTTCCAGGGATGGGGTATCCACAACTTCTCTGGGCAACCTGTTCCAGTATCTCACCATGCTACCAGTGAAGAATTTCTTCCTAGGATCTAATCTCAGCTTACCCTCCTTCATTTTAAGGCCATTCCACCTTGTTCTATCACTACATGCCCTTGTGAAAAGTCCCCCTCCAGCTCTCTTGTAGCTCCCTTTCAGGTACTGGAAGCTACTGTAAGGTCTCCCTGGAGCCTTCTCTTCTCCAGGCTGAACAACCCCAACTCTTTCAGCCTATCATCATAGGACAGGTGCTCCAGCCTTGTTGAACTTAAACTCTACGCAGGCCCTCATCTCAAGCCTGTCAAGGTCCCTCTGGATGGCATCTCTTCTCACCACACAGTTTAGTGTCACTGAAAAACTTGCTGGGGGTGCGCTCGATCCCACTGCCCATGTTACCAGCAAAGATGTTGAACAGCACCAGTCCCAATAGTGACCCCTGAGGAATGTCACTGGTCACTCTTTTCCATTCTAAAATGAAGTGGTCTGGTAAGCTTTACTGAAGAGGCAGGAGAATGCAAACCTGGTTGCCTCAAGTCTTCATTTTGGAAAGTTTTGTGTTTTCTCCAAAACAGAGAAGAAAACCAAATGTTAACTTGTCAAAAGTTTTCATAAAACTGAGTTGTCATCCGCCAGTCAACATTAATCTAAATCATTCATCCAAATCCCCTGCGGTATTCAAAATATGTACACACAAATGCCAAGGAAAATATATTTTATTCCATTGTGCTCTGCAAAAGACCTAGTCAAGATTTTTAGGAGTTTTAAGTGGTAAAGTATTCAAAAACTTTAGGAAACTCATTCTGTATAAAAAACAAATTCTAAAGAGACCTAGTTAGGAGTTTTAGGAAGGATAAGTAATAAAGTATTCATAAAGTTTAGGAAACTTGATCTGTGGGAAAATCACCTTCTAAATGAAGAGCTCAAATCTGCTATTTATTTTTACTTAAATGAATAAATAGTCTTCGTTAAGAAATTTTCTCAACTGATTGATATATTTTCATCAAAATATTGCATGGTCTAGTAGGTTTTATTTTGTGCTAAATTCTGTAAGAATGAAAGGTACTGCAACCCAGTTTTATACTTAACAATATCTTATATTTGGGAAAAATGACTTAATAACACTGGATCGAGTAACTACCTAGCAGTGCAAAAGGAAGAATTTTTGTGTGTCTGAAATATTGATGTTCCTCTTCAGAGGAATTAGTTAATATAATAAAAGTTTCAAGCCTGTTAAAATTGCTTCTAAATCACATTTCAGCTTCTGAGAGTGTTTCCCAAACCAGGTTATTTAGATTGCAGTGTAAACCCAGTAGGCACAATAACCATCGTTCCGCAGTCCATGGCCCCTTTTAAAAGGCCAATAAGAGGTTACATAAAAGGACTGCTTTTCTTTATGTCAGGTAGAATCAAAATCTTCCTCATGGGTAATTGTATTTTTTCCAGAGGGATATTTTTTTCTATTGTGTCATAGAGTAGCAACTTAGGATGCTGCTGGGAACTTTATGACATCTCTGAACTGAAGAACCCCTGCATGCACATTTTTCTGTCTTGCAAGTTCATTGTTGCATTCCTTTTGGGTTCATAGGTGATAATGGAAACAAGAAGATAGTCAAATTACTCAAAACCAGGTGGATATTAACAGGTGTTAGATATTAGGGAGAGCCATCTGGATTTTTGCAGCTGTTGATTTTGCTAGGAATGTCAACCTCACCTTTAATAACATAAATAACAGTCAACATTACATGTAGTTTGTGGGGCTTATTGTACCACTCATGGCAGCACACTCCTGTTGTCTTTGAGAATCTTACTAGGTGGAGATGCTTCTCTGTATTGTGAATGCTTCACTACTAACTTTCTCATACTACAGCACTTGTAAAAGGTGGATAGATGGTAGATAAAGCCTCATAAGAGAGAATAACTGATTTGCAAAGGCAAATTCTAGATTATTTTTGCAGCTAGTTAATCTCTTACTCAGTTATTCTGCTTTCTGCATGAGAAAGAATGTATGTCTGTCAACAGATGGAGAAAACGTGGTGAAAAAAGCATTCAAAAAATAAACTTGTTCCTCTACTCCAATATAATCTAGGTATCAGCTCATGCAGGTGTACAGGTGCCTATTTAGTAGCAATCTAATGCTTTTGCTGTCATCTCTGTAGACAAAGATGTTAGCAGAGAAAGTGCATTGTAATGTCACTGCCTTGGAGCCAAGACCTGACTCTCTCTCTGCTCAAAAGAAGTTCAGTGGGTGAAGTTTTGTTTTTTTAATTTCTTTCCTTGAAGCTTCATAATGTACTCAGAAGCATGATGCTTTCAGT